AAGGTAGAATTCGTATCATGATAGTGGGAGCAGGGAGGAAACATTTAGGAACTAGAGGAAAGTTGTATGTTTCATCTTTGCTACATCGCCCCCTGACTGGCTTGTCTCTTCCCTGAGACCCCTCTGCAAGGGGGTCTCAAAAAGCACCCATTTTGTCTTCAGTGATTGTGCTGGGAGGGTGAGCATCACAGAATGCCAGATTGTTCAAACAAACTGTATTCTTGTATTGAGGGAGGGCATGAGCAGAGGACCGAAGTCCGTCCACTACCTCAGTGTATTGCCATAGAAATTTATGTACATAGGCCAATACCTCTATTTTATGGATTAATGTATTTATGTATATAAATGTACCCCCCTCTGCTTATACCTCTATTCATAGCTGTGCTTCCTAGATCCTTCCTGTTTCATTTACCTTCCCCCTGACCCACCATCATGTTCTCCCTACTACCGCGTCTTAGTACTTCCTCCCAGCTAGATTACTGTTGCTCCAAGACCCCCAGGATCACTACATCCTCCTTGTGGTTGATTTTAATTCCCTAGTCACTCCCCTGTCTATGGTGTTGTTTGCTCACTGCACCCTTCCCCGCCACCTTCTCCCCACCAAGTCCCTCCGGGACGGTCAGTCCCATTGCTTTCTCCTCCAGTTTCTCATGCCTGTCTTATATAAGTGAGGCAAACCAACAGTGACATGGGCCAAACAAAAGGTGGAAAGAAGAAAATGAATAGAAAAAGAGAGAGGGGAAAAAAAAAACATAATTCCAGGTCTGTCCACTGACCTTTATGATTATCTCCCCCCGGTCCTGGAGGAATTCTGGGAGCTGCCCCTCTGCCTGAAGTCTATCTTGGGGGCTTTGTTTTGTTCCAGTTGCTGATCTGTTATGTTCCCTTCTTGGTTTGCCCCGCTGTGGGGGGTTCAGACTGCAATACCTCCCTGTCGTGTGTCCCCTGTGGCGGTATACTCCAGTAAGGGGACAGCATGTCATGAGCTGTTGTCAGCCCCACAGTCCTCTCTGTGCCTTAGCAGCTCCGTGCAGGGACATATTCCTTGGGCTTAGTGTGCCAATGTGGGGTCTAGACCATCCGTCCTTTTCTCTTTGTCCTTCTTGGTTTGCTTCCATGAGGGCATGGTAAGCCGGCCCCTCACGCCAACCTGCACGTTTAGTGTTGTTCTCTGTTGCACATACTTCTAGGGAGGCGGTCGGTTTGGCTCTGGTTAGGGCCAGCCCAGTAGCTCAATCTTTTCATGCATTCCTCCACGTGGTTACGTTGCCTTCATGGTTTGGTGTGCCGTGGTGGGGTCTGTATGCACACTCCCAATTCTGTGGAGACATAATCAATACTCTGCCCCGGGGTGGGTTAGTGCCCTGCTCCCCCCATGCCATCATCTCACTTTCACCCCCCAGTTTCTCCCTCCTTCTTCCGCTCTTTCCCCTTCTTTGTGTTGGATTAACATGTACCTCTTTGGGTTTGGTCTGACCTCAACCTGTATATTGTGAGATAAGTAGCTTTTCTTCTATACCTACTGTGCTGATCATACTTACCTCAGGGGATTCATGTTGTACTTGTCCTTTTGTGATTGGCTGACTTCGAGTAGCATAATTTCCTTCAACTCTTCCCTCGAAATGACAAGTGAGCATCAGTGCCTTTTAGTGATGCATAGCACTCCATTGGGTGCATGTGCCAGAGTTTACTGATCCACTCGTCTACTGATGGAAAATTAGGTTGTTTTCCAGTTCCAATTTGCGATGGTAAATTATGCCACAATAGACAGTGGAGTGCAGATGACTGGTTGTGTTTATTTCTTATCTCTTCTGGGTAAATACCCAGTAGAGGGATAGCTGGTCATAAAGTAGATCAATTTCCAGTTTCTTTAAATATCGTCAGATTGCTTTCCACAGAGGCTGTACGTATCTACATGACTTCCATCTCTGACTACTTTTTAAAATAAAGTTTTGGAAATGGAATTTGTATGTCATTGAACATTGGGTTTTGATACATATTATATGGGGAAATTATTTATATATTTAATTTTTATTTCATGAAGAACTGATCTCACACGTATGTGTTATACATAATTATTCTCCCTTGTGTATATGCTTTATGTTCATTATATTGATCAATTATTAGTGAGCAGTAAGTAAACATACTAACTTTCCTACATCAAAATTAGTATGAACATTATGAAAGAAAAATGCTTCCTTGTAGACATGATTAATGTATTAGGTTAATGGCATGTCCAGGTAGTTTTTAATCTTAAAAAAATCCTGAAAGTTACCTCTTTCCTATTATTCTAAAGAAGCATTTTAAGATTTATATGAAAATTATATTATGACTTTTAGCTTACATTATTTTTAGGTGCTCCCTGTGATCCTACTTTCCTTTTTGGCTGTGCACCCTGCAATGTGATCTACTCCATCATTTTCCAGAATCGCCTGGACTACAGTGATGAGACACTAGTAAACTTGATAAAGTATTTTCATGAAAATATCACAATTGCAAGTAGCCCCTGGATACAGGTGAGGACAAAATTCTCTTTAAATGGGAAACTGTAAGTAACTTTTCTGAAAATGTATCTCTTATGCTTGCCCCATCCTTTGCTCTATTTTAAGATGGTACAAAGTTTTTGTGTTTTTTTTAAAACTATCTTGTATAACCCACTAGTGAGTTATCAAGTCAACTGAATGAGAGCTGAACTAAAAATTAAAACATGATATAAGTAGAATAAAAATATAAAATTAGAATGCATCAATCACATTAAGGTATTTTTTGAGAAACCCTTTGTTATGGGCTGAATTCTGTCTCCCCAAACATATATTAAAGCTCTAACTTTGTTACCTGTGAAAGTGACCCTATTTGGAAGGAAGTGGAGTCTTTGATTATTTAAGTTAGCACAATGTCATAATGGATTATGACTTAGCTCTTTGTTATAAAAGAAAAGTAGACACAGGCAGAAAGACACAGGGGGAAGACAGGCCAGGTGAAGTTTGTGTTGTCGAAAGCCTGGGAATGCTACCTTTGAGCTAACAGGAATAGGGAAAGACAAAGAAAGATCTTCCCTTAGAGAATTTGAAGAGAGGATGGCCTGATTGACAACCTGAATTCAGACCAAATATATTTCTCTTGTATTAAGTCACTCATTGTGTGAAACTGCTTTATGCCAATCCCATAATCTAATGTGAAAATGGTTTTAGAATTGTGTGATTGGTGTATGATAGAAACATTTCGAGGTGCTTCATAGAAAAAGCCTAGGTTTCCTTGAAGAGACTGTTGGTAGAATTGCAGATGTCAAAGACTATTCAGGGAGAAGCATGGAGACCTTTTGTCAAAGCTTCTACTCCGAGTCCACACACAGCATTGGGAAGAGGGTGTTGGTAGAAATGTGAACGTTGAAGGTATTTCTGATTAGGATAGTGAGGAGGAGCTGGTTCGTGAACACTGGAAGAAGGGAGGTCTTGTTCATAGAGAAGCAGAGAATTGGACTGACGTAAGGTCTCCTGTCTTGTTGAAGGTAGAACCTATAAGAGATGAGCTTGTATCTTGAGCTGAGAAGATTTCTAAGCAAACTGTGGAAGATACATTTATATTTCCTCTTGAAGTTTATTGTAAAATGTAAGAAGAAATAGATAAGTTTAGGAATGGATTGTAAGGTAAAAAATGAGCTGGAAAAAATTGAGCTAGAATTTGAGAATTCAGGAAATTCTCAACAGATTCATATTGTAAAAAGGAGAATATGTGCTCTGGAGAAAACACCAAAGGTATGCGTGGACAAGCATTTGCTCAAAAGATCAGGCATGCCAGGTATGCATCCAAGCAACCATCCCAATGAAATGCTTCTAACTTAAACAGAAAGGGACAGAGATGGGATGGAATGAAGGAAAGCTGTCGGACTTTGAGGATTCTCCATGTAGAAAATGGTCCACTAGAGCTATTCACCTCTGATTATGCACTATCGTGCAAGAAAAGGAGAAAATGACTTTAAAGGTATAGGCCTAAGGGATGGAACACCGGCTCCTTGGTTCTAAAGGGTGACCTCCTGGGATCCAGTAGGTGACTCTCTCCACGTTTCAGAGCTACTACAATGGGCCTGCCTCCCTCCCTCCTTCCATCACTCACTCACTCACTCACTCACCCACTGCTATCAAGTTGAATCCAATTCATCGTGACCCTATAGGACATAGTAGAACTGCTGTGTAGATTTCTGAGAACAACTTTGATGGGAGCAGAAAATCTCATTTCTGTCTTGTGGAGGAACTGGTGGATATGAAATACTGACCTTGGGGTTAGCAGCCCAACGTAACACACGGAGCCACCAGGGCTCCTTAAGGAAGCCTCAATTTAGGGACGCTCAGGAGCTTGTGTGGGCCTTTCTGCCAGAGAACAGATTGAGAACGACAGGTTATCTTTCAGTTTTTCAACCTAATATTTGGTTGGCTACATTTGAATCTCCTTAGGACTAGTGATGTATGTTTTCCCCCCATTTATCCACTTTTAGAATGCAATATTTATTCTAGGTTTATGCCCTATCATTGGATAAAAGACTGGGTTTTCTGCTCCCGTAAAGAGTTACAATCTCAAAAACTCACAGGAGCAGTTCTACTCTGTCCTGAAGCTTGCTATGACTTGGCATCGCCCTAATGGCAGTGAGTTTGGTGTTGTCGGGGTGTGTGTGTGTGTGTGTGTGTGTGTGTGTGTGTGTGTGCCCTATTGTTGTATTTGGAAGCAAATCGTTTGTTTTCTAAGTTTCCCAGATCCATACATGTACAGAAATTATTTTTAATCCATTCACTTTGTGGTGTGGGACTATACTCAGAATTTCACCTATACCTGATGTAGAAAATTTTCTAGAAATACACTACACTCAAGTTAACACAGACTGGTGTCGAAAATATCAACAGGCTAACACAAAAGAAGAAATAGAGCAGGTAATATAAAAACTGCCAACAAAAAAAGTTCAAGTCAGATGGCTTCACCAGGGAATTGTACCACGCATCTGAAGAAGAGCTGACACCAATTCTATACGAACTATTCCAGACTATAGAGATAAGCTCTTCAACAAATAGTGCTGGCTGAATTGGATTTCTGTTTACATAAGAATGAAAACCTCAACCCATGTATAGAAACAGACTCAAGATGTATCAAAGATATACATGTAAATCTGGAGCTATAAAAAGACCATCAGTGACCCTCAATGCAAGAACACTTTGTTCTATTAAACTGGCATTCCTTGATGCTCACCTTCCCAACATGATCGCTGAAGCAAAGTGGGTGCATGAGCAAATGTGGTGAAGAAAGCTGATGGGTGCCCAGCTATCAAAAGATATATTGTTCGTGGTCTTAAAGGCTTGAAGATAAACAAGTGGCCATTTAGCTGAGAAGCAACAAAGCCCACATGGAAGAAGCACACCAGCCTATTGTAATCATGAGGTGTCGATGGGATCAGGTATCAGGCATCAATGAACAAAAAAAAAAATCATATCATTGTGAATGAGGGGGAGTGCAGAGTGGGGACCCAAAGCCCCTCTATAGGCAACTGGACTTCCCTGACAGAAGGGTCATGGGGAGGAGACAAGCCAGTCAGGGTGCAGTATAGCACTGATGAAACATACAACTTTCCTCTAGTTCTTTAATGCTTCCTACCCCCTCCACACCACCACCACCCTATCATGATCCCAATTCTACCTTACAAACCCGGCTAGACCAGAGGATGTATACTGGTACAGTTAGGAAATGGAAACACAGGGAATCCAGGACAGATGAACCCCTCAGGACCAGTGGTGAGTGAGAGTGGTGATACTGGGAGAGTGGGGTAGAAAGGGGGAACCTATCACAAGGATCTACCCCCTCCCTGGGGAATGGACAACATAAAAGTGGGTGAAGGTAGATGTCGGACAGTGTAAGACATGACAAAATAATAATTATTTATAAATTATCAAGGGTTCGTAAGGGGCCATGGGAGGGAGGGGAAAATGAGGAGCTGATACCAAGGGCTCAAATAGAAAGCAAATGTTTTGAGAATGATGATGGCAACAAAATGTACAAATGTGCTTGACACAACGGATGTATGTATGGATTGTGATAAGAGTTGATGAGCCCCCAATACCATGATTAAAAAAAAAAAAAGACCATCAGTGAGAAAATAGGGACAAATTTAAGGGCCCTATTGCAAATATGGTGAAGGAAATACACACAGTAAATGATAAAATACATGAATGTGACCTAATAAAAATATGCACCAAACGAGGAAAAAGAGAAGCCAAAGAGTGGGGAAACTTGTGTCAACAACACAACAGAACAAGGGAGTCATCTCTAAACTCTAGAAAATGGCAACATCTCAATTAAGAAAAAGACAAATAATTCTATTAAAAGTGGACCGAGGACGTGGACAGACAAATCACCAAAGATAACATTCAAATGACCAACAACATAAAGAAATGCTCATGATCACCAGCCATCCAAGAGATGCACAAAGTTACCACCTTGCACCAACAATAACAACCTAATAATTAAAACAAAGACACATCCCCCGCCCCCTGAAAACATCAAATGTTAAAGAGGATGTGGAGAGATTCAAAACCCTCCTAGCCTGCTGATGGGACGTTAAGCCTATCCAACCACTGTGGAAGGTTATACAGTATAGTGCTCTCTCAAGCAACCAGGGATAGAATTCACATGACCGAGCAGTTCTTCTGCCTCACAGAACTCACAGACAGTGCCAAAAAGGACTATGGGGTATATTCACAACAAGTAAACATCAGAAAACATTAAGGATACAGTCCCTTTGTCTTCAGCAGTGCCTTTCCCCCCCAGCTATACCGGCTGGCATGTCCCTCTCTGCTCCTTAGTCTCTCCGTCCCCTGACCTCTGCCCTGCGTGAGTCAGTAGAAAGGTCCTCTGGCACCGATCACAAGCCATCCAGTAGGTCCTCAAGAGAAACACTCGCTTTTCTACTCCCATAAAGGGTTATAGTCTTGGAAACTTACAGGGGCAGTTCTACTCGGTCCTATAGGGTTGCTATGAGTCACCATAGACTCGATGGCAGTGAGTTTGGTTTTGGTTTGAACACAAATAAACGCCCAAAGGACACCCCCCTCTGCATGCTTACCTCTTGCCCCACAGCAGTTAGTTTTACTTAGTGGATAGGCCAGGAAACTGTGTTCTGTCTCCTTGTCATGGTGCTGTGGTCTCTGGTATCTCTGCTGCCACTCTTACTTCACACAGACATGGTGGATGCACTGCTAGTGGCTCTTCTTTCTTGATGATTATGTGATTCTCAACTCCTGCTTCCAAAATGGCTCACTTTATCCCTAGAAGAATGGCAAAATTGACCAATCCTGGTGTTAAGGGTCCTCTACACCTTATTTGCATGCTCCCACCCAGTCAATACATAGGAGTTACAAAGACTGTGGATAGAAGGGCCACGACAAGCAATTTCAAGTCGCTGAAGTTGTTCAGTAATTAAGAATTAAAACTCTGCATAAATCATGAAATTTTGAAGGGTTCTATCTGGAAAGGACCCTAGAGAACAGATATTCAATCCCTTCTTCTTCTTCTTCTTTTTTAAACACAAAACTCACCTAAAGAGGTAAGGATGATTTCTGAAAAAGCTTTGCTAAGACAAGGAATGGCATGTTACAAGCTACCAGCCCCAATAAGTTGCTTTGGTCTTTGCCAAAGGTATACTAAGGGATGAAAGGCTGTCTACAGGACCAGCAATGGCAAAATAAGTAAATATGTACATTCCTAAGATGCAAGATGTCTAAATAAGCCATGTGATTTGTACACTTCCTTAATCTTTCTGAGGCACTGATTCTTCACTACACAAGAAGGCAATGAGTTCTCAAAGTTTTTTAGGTGATTTCCTGGAAAAATACAATGTATAGTTTGCTAGGATGAACTCTGGGTTTAAGCTTCAATGTCATTAGTTTGGTGTCTTTGAATTGTTGATTAGCCTTTCTAACATCAATATTCTCATTTGGAAAGAGGTGACAACACTGGTACATTCCTGAATTCTTCCACAGAGTAAATACCTTAAAATGGTTCTGAAATTGTTTTGTAAATTGTGCATACTCTAATCATCCTACTTGTGCCCTTGCTTTCCAATTCTAAGAGTGTTCTAGAACAAGAAGCATGATTTATTGATCTTTTTCTAGTTAGTATCTACCAAAATGTTTTATACATGCCTATAGGCTTACATTTGTTTTCTGAACGAATTAATAAATTATTATGTCTTCTTTCAGCTCTGCAACGCTTTCCCTTTTCTCATGGATTATTTCCCAGGAAGTCATAAAAAATTATTTCAGAATTTTCAAAACCAAAAAAAGTTTATTTTAGAGAAAATAAAAGAACACCAAGAATCCCTGGATCGCAATAACCCTAAAGACTTCATTGACTACTTCCTGATTAAAATGGAGCAGGTAATGTGAAGTCTCATTTGCTATTTCTTTGAGGGTAAGGTGACTTATGGGCTACCTTTATTTTTCCTATTGAGATTGGAATGTTAAAGCAAACACCCCTTCCAAAAGCCATACAAATTGTTTGTTCAGTCCTTTACTTATGCAAATCATATTGGGTGTTTGGGGAAATTACTAAATTTTCCACGAGAAATACTTAGAAGTTAAAAAATTTTAATTTTAAAGTTGGATTTTAATTGGGGGGTAGAGTGAAATAAGCATACATGCAAACACATTCATACATTCAAGAATGATGATAACGAGTATATGAGGACGTACTAAAAAAATGGAAAAAATTTTCAAAGCTGTGTTAAAATTTTTTTTTTTTTAACAAAATAACCTTATCACCTTCAAAGGACTCTCCATTTCACTTAATACTTTTGTCTAATTTCCATTTTGGAAATATTTTTCAAACTCATCTGTTTGGATGGCTGACAGCACCTCCCTTGCTTTTTTTTCTGCACTTGTATGTTGTCAAATTTCTCTCCTTTCATGTCCCTCTTCATTCACGGAAACAAAAAGAAGTCACACAGAGTGAGGTCAGGTGAGTCAGGTGTGTGGGGCAAGAGAAGCATGCTGTTTTTGCCCAAAACTAGGACACTGAGATGGCTGTGTGAGCAGGTGCATTGTCGTGGTGGCAAAACCAGTACCCTATCTGCTGCAAATCAGGCCTTTTTTGTCACACACTGTTACACTATCTTTTCCGAACATCTAAATAGAAAGCTTGATTAACAGTCTGACCTGGTAGGAGAACTCAAATGCACTATGTGTCAATATTTTCATCTGTTTGGGAAGTTGCTGGATGTCCAGAAATGTTTATCATCAATTGACATTTCATTTTTTTGAAACAAGAAAACCACTTGTACACTTGAGCACATGTGTGTTTTTCATAGCGCTGTGTTCAACATCACAACAGTTTCTGCAGCATTTTTTCTCAAGCCAGAAACAAAATTTCATAGCTGCACACTGTTCTATTAAATCTGCCATCACAAAAGAACGAAGTTTGAGGGAAACTGCTTTTATGAAAAAATTCACTGCTACTAGAGAGAACCTTCCCAGGCAACGCCACTGGGTGCACTAACTCAGAGTTGCTCAATGCTCACCTAGTGGGAAAAACACCTACTATGAAAGCTCTGCCCAGCTGAGGTTCCCCCCCACCCTTTTTGGGGGTGGGGGGTATACCCCCTTGTATACTTTTATTTAAAATGAGTCCCATGAACGGAAGATTAAACAAATATGGCAACCTGAGAATGAATGGAAATTCAGAAAGACTCACCATTGGGAATACTTCAGAAGAGCATCGTAGATGGGATAGGTTTTCAGGAAATTCTGGCTCCGATGAACTGTGAGGTAAAATAGGCCCAGTGAATGGTTCCTTTAGTGATCAAGAATGTAGATTTTTAAAAAGCTTATAATGATTCCAGTTGAGGAACTGTGGTGGGTCAAATGACTAACAAGTTTGGAATGATTCAACTGGGACTAGTGATGCAATTTGTGGAGTCCTCGAGACTTCGATGAGGAAGTTAGATGGGATAAAATAGACCTTAGAATTGAAAGTGAATATTAGTGATAATTGCATTAAAATGATTTAAAATAAACCATACAGGAGCTACTTGATTCTGTAAGATGGTTGAATGGTAGAATCCTTACTTTTCGTATGTGAACTCAGGTTCAATTCCCAACCAATACAGGTCAAGCATAATGACCACCCATCTGTCAGTAATTTGTGTGTTGCTATGATGCTGAACAGATTTCCACAGAGTTTCTAGCCTAAGACTAGACAAAAAAGTCTAAAACAGGCCTAGTGATCTACTTCTGAAAATCAGCCAATTAGGATTTTAACTCTTATTATATCTTAGCAGATTAAAGGAATCTTAGCTCATGTAAGGCTACCTTCAGCTATAGAACTCCTCATGTCTGGTTAACTTGCCAAACGCTGATGTTATTCTGTGCTATTTTATATCACTTGTAAGGATTTTTATTTATCAATTTATTGTCACATATCATTACTAGGAAAAACACAATAAGCACTCTGAATTCACCATGGACAACTTAATCATTACAATATGGGATGTGTTTAGTGCGGGAACAGAAACAACCACCACCACCATCAGATATGGAATCCTGCTCTTGTTGAAGCATCCTGAGATTGCAGGTATGATCCCAAGTGATGGGCACGATTACAGTCCAGGTAGAAAACAGAAGACTGTACTGGTGATCATTTGTTTGTCTAGGCGATGGGAGGAAAATTTCCACCACTCCATGTACCTACTACTATTGAATGAATGCAATTTAAATTATATTATTGTTATTATTAAGGCTAATGAGAGAGCTAAACAACATCAGAGATTTGAAAGGTAGAGGCCCTGGTTCTCCTGGCCGTGGTCTGCTGTTTCGAGCTCAGTCAGGAAAGTAGTCATGAGCAGAGTTTTCTTAAAATCTGGAAGGAATTGGTCTCTTCCCCCACCCCCCCAAAAAATCTGACCTAATAGTCCCATGTCAGAAGATATTTCTACTCAAGGGCATTTGCAATGTAGACATTCATTTAATGAAATTACAATTTTTCTCTAACAAAAAGACTCACTTTACAAATAGAAATGCTGTATCCAAATAAAAAGCTTTTTTTGAATAAATTTCCTTACCAAAATAACTTCTTTTGCAAAAGTAACTTTTAATTTGATTCTTTCTCTTGTTTTATGATGTTGCTTTGATACGAACATATGAAAAGATGTTCCCTTCATTCTGATATCATGGTTTGTGTTCTTGTGTATTAAAACACTTTTCGTATGATTCAAGATGAAACGAATAGTTCTTATGCTCTTGGGACTTAGACATCTAACAGAAACTAACATGCAAAAAAGTCATTAAACTGAATGATTATTGGTAACCCTTCAAGATCCTACAATCTTGAGTCCATCAAACAAGAGTGCCCAGAGACCCAGAGTTGAAAGGGGATTTCTGGCACAGTAGTGTCTCCTATGGACATACAAATCTGAATCGACTTGATGGGAGGGAGTTTGGCTTGGGTTTGAACTGCATCGGCCTAATAGGCTTTACAATGCTCTCTGTCTGATAGCAAAGCTAGTCACACCTCTGGACTATGGTCAGATGCTTAATCCTCAGACTCATAGTGACCCAATAGCATGGGGTAGAATTGCCCCTGAGGGTTTCTAAGACGGTAGCTCTTTCCAGGAGTAGAAATCTGTATCCTTCTCCCACAGAGCATCTGGTGGTTTTAAAATGCTGAGCTTGCGATTAGCAGCCCAATGAGTAACCAGTAAGGTTACTAACTTGAGGGAGTCCCGGTAGCATAGAGGTTACTTGGGCTGCTAACCACAAGGTCAGCAGTTGGAAACCACCTGCTGCTGTGTGGGAGACAGGGGCAACTTTCTACTCCCATAAAGACTTATAGTCTCTGAAACCCACAGGACAGTCACTTTGAGTCAGCATTGACTCCACTCCACCACAGTGTAACAATTTAAGAGAAAATCAAAGGTATTTCAAAGGCTTTTCCATTTCACATGCATTCTGATTTTATTCTTGTCAGCAAAAGTCCAGGAAGAGATTGACCACGTGGTTGGCAGAACCCGGAGCCTGTGCTTGAAGGACAGGGCCAGTTTGCCCTACACAGATGCTGTGGTGCATGAGATTCAGCGATTCATTGACCTTGTCCCCTCGAGCTTGCCTCATGTGGTGAATCAGGATATTAAATTTAGAGACTACTTTATTCCCAAGGTGAGAGATATTTCATATTTTTTTCCTTTAGAATCTTAGGTCAGAAATTATTACAGTAATAGGATGATCGATAATCTAATCTTCTACAGGTGTAGCACAATCATACCTCAGGCATCTCGCCTTTGGAGTGCATACTCCTTTCGTTCTAATTTGTCAACATAATTTTGCAAGTATAATAGTGCTTGGACTGCTACAGACTTTCATTAGCTGAACTCTTCCGGTCCAGTAGATCAACCCTGTTTCCACAATCCTTGACTAGTTTCCACCACTCTCTCTGTCACTTATTTGTCAAAGGTTTAGGAGCCCTGCTGACATAGAGGTTACGTGTTGGACTGCTTACCATAAGGCCAGCAGGTCCAAACCACCAGTGCACTCGGTGGGGAAAAGGTGAAGCTTTCTACTCCCAGGAGGAGATCTACTCTGTCCTACAGAGCCACTATGAGTTGGAATGGACTCGAGGCCAGTGAATTTGGTTTTGGTTTATCCTAAGTCCAGTTCAGTAGTCACCGTCCTCACGGCCTGTCCTTGGGCGACTGGTGTCTACTAGAAAGGACGATTCAGTCCAGCATAGGCCTTAGTTATATTACTGTTTCCACCAATCCCCAGTGTAGTTTTCAGTCCTGCTATATAACCTAACTCAGTTTGCTTTACCACATTCCACAAAGACCCTTTGGATCCTGGATCCTCCTTAAACCTCTTACACTCAGCAACTTCTTTTCTTCCAGTGATCTGGCCTTTCCACCTGAGAGAAAAATAGAGCCCCATGAAAGAACTCACATAATCCCCGTCCACTAGACTTGCAAATTTAGCTACATCCAAGATCTTTGATTTCTTTTGTATGTCTGTCTTGCAGAAGAAGGAACCCAGGTGACATAGTGGTGTTAGACGGGCTGCTAACTTCAAGGTCACCAGTTTGAAACCACTAGCAGCTCTGTGGGAGAAAGACAGGGCTGTCTACTCTCTAAAGAGTTACCGTCTTGGAAACTCACAAGGGCAGTTCTACCCGGTCCTCTAGGGGCGCTATGAGTTGGTATCAACTCCATGGAAGTGAGTTTGGTTTTGGTATTGTCAAAGAAGGGCACTCCAATTTAAAAAGGAAACCTTTCTACCTGTGGGTCCCTTCCTCTTGCTCTTTCAACGAACCTCCTCAAGTATTTATTTTAATCCTCTCTCCACACTGGCTCCTTTCCATCAATATTTGAACATGTTGCATTAACAAACATCTCAAACTATCTTTAAAAATATTCCTTTTCCTCAACCCTATCTCTTCCATGCCTTTGTGTGTATATGGCTGATCCAGAAATTTGTATGTATCTTTAACTTGTCATGATGTATGTTAAAATATTTATTATGGTATGAAAAAAAAAGCAATAGCAATTCCTCCTGTCCTGTACCTTCCTCCCCAAATTCCAGTGCCAAATCTTGTTCTCTGCACCTCGGCTCCATAAGGCACCTCTCTCCTTGTCCTCAACTCCCTGCTTCAGGAGAAGGAAGCACTCCTGGATAGAAGTTCAGGTTGGCTGTGTTGTTATTAGGTGCTGTCTAATTGGTCCCAAATTACAGAGACCCATGTGACAGCGTTGAACTGCCAGTGCCAAGTTTTCTTGACTATAATGCTTATGGGAGTGAATCACTATGTTTTTCTTGCTGGTTCAAGCTACCAACCTTGCAGTTAGCAATTGAGCTCGTAACCGGTTGAGTCATTAGGGCTCCTTAGGTGAATGTAGAGTCCACATTTTCCCTCTTTGGCAGAGTATCGCATTCGTTGATTGCCTTCTGTTTACAGAAGAAAATTATTCATTCATCTCCTCTACCCAAGATGCAGAGTTGTTTTAGCTGTGAAGGCAGCTTCAACGCACTTACCCTGAGATAGCCCAAGACTCAAAGTCACCGTCAAGTCCACGCCCACTTACAGCAACCCCATAGGACAGGGGACAAACTGCGGGTCTCTGGGAGTAGAAAGCTGCATTTTTCTCCTTCGGAATGGCTGGTGGTTTTGAACTACTGACCTTATTGTTAGCAGCCCAACGTGCAATCACTATGCCACCAGGACTCCTAGAAAGTAGACAATCCCCCAGTCTAGAGAAGCGTTTGATCACAAATTAAGTTTATACAGGTACCTTTCTAAGGCTGGCCACAATATGTTCTTGCACATCTTTCTCAGATTTTGTCACTATTTAAGTCCATCAAGGTCAGAAAATGAATCACAGGAGTAGCTCTGTTAAAAAGAAAAGAGAAAGAAGATTTTAAAAGATTGGGAAAAAGAAAAAAAGAAAGAGAGTATCTTTGTTACTTGAAAGAAATGAAAATCACTTTCTCTTTCATTTGTCCCCATGTAAAATATATCTATGCTTTCTACTTAAGAGCTTCTAGAATGAGAACTATATTATGCATTTGGAGAGGCCATACAGTACACTTGAAAGTATTTAGCTAAAATTTTGTCTATGTCACATAGTAAATGCATGGCCTATATATAATAAGACCCCAAATATTGTTGCTGCAATATTTATCACCAGACAGTAACTAAACCTCTTTTTTTTGAGCTCACTCTATATTTATATTAAATTAACATACATGTTTTCATGTTTGCAATTTACTAATAATAAAGTCGAGTCCTTGAAATGTTGAACAATGTAAGATGATCGCAGAGTTTAATTTGACAGGGAGAAGGACTTGAGTGATTCTGAAATCCAATCCCGAAATCATTATGTTTCCGTCTATATCTAGTTTAGTAAAATCCTACTCCCTGAACCAAACCAAACTGCTGTTGGGTCAATTCTGACGCATGGTGACATCACCTGCTACATGGTAGCACCTCTCCTTCGTGTTCACGTCGCTGTAATCTCGATGGAAGCAGACTGCCAGGCCCTTTCCCTGATGAGTACATTGAAATAGCCAACTTTTAGGCTACTAACTGTTGCTAGTTGCCACTTAGTGGGTGCCAACTCGCAGTGACCCCGTGTTCATGAAGTGAACTGCTGCTCCAGATGGTTTTTCAAGACTGGCTTTTTGGAAGCAGATTCCCAGGTCTGTCTTCCAGGGCGCCTCTGAGTGGGTTTGAACCACTAACCTTTCAGCTAGTAAAACCAGAGAATCCCAATCTACGGCTGTGTTCTTGGTTCCGAGTCAAAATGACCCTATATAGGATTTCTGGTGCTATAAATCCTTATGAGAGCTGATAGGCATATCTTTCTCCTGAAGAATGGCAAGTGGGTTTTAAAAGAGGACCTTGACCTTTAGGTTATTAGCCCAGCAATGACCTGAGAGCCCCACCAGAGTGTCTTTGGCTAGAAATCAAGTGCAAATGGTTTGTGCCACCAGGGACCTGGAAACCCCTACTAAATATCAGAGATGCACTCTTCTTTCCACAAAACCATGGGACAACTCAAACGAAAGAGCACAGCAGGAGAAGAGGGTGCCCACTAGTTTTTCAACTTGATAAGAAAGTGAAGATTTTCCAAGATATGGACACCCAGCTGCTAGTTTTTGAAGAGTGCCTTCCTTATACGTGGTTTCAAAGTGAAGGAGCTGAATTTTCACTTACATCAGCCCTGCTAGACAATGCTGAAATTTAGAGAAATTCACTCTAGGGAGATTTCTTTGTCTTCTGGCAAAATAAGCAATGGTATTCAGACTACAGACTGGAGAGTATGGCGTTGGGATCAGTGACGAGTAGCCTGAAGTAGCTAATTCCATGACTTTAGACCTGTTGGACTTGCTTATTAATTTTCTCAGTGGTGTGGGGCAAATAAATTCTCCTTTTTGTGCCTCAAGCTCCTTCTCTATGAAGTGAGAGGCTGAGAGGAGGATTTCTACTCTCTTTCCGCGTTTGCTGATCTTCTTTGTGATCCAATCGATCTGTTTCTGTTTCTAACAGGGCACCAACATACTGCCATCTCTTACGTCTGTCCTGTACGATGAAAAAGCATTTCCTAACCCAGAGAAGTTTGACCCTGGCCACTTCCTGGATGAAAGTGGAAACTTCAAGAAAAGTGACTATTTTATACCTTTTTCAGCAGGCAAGTGAGCTTCGTCGTCATCGATACTTCACCAGTCAAGTGACATGAAGAAGGGTTTTCATGAAGGGCTACTTTGGGCTGTCAAATTGCCATTGGTGGGGGGCCAGAGGCAAGTCAAGGTTATTGCTCAGGGAATGGAGACCAAATTAACTGATTTCTGTCCTCTCATTCACCACTGAGATTCCCAAGAGCTCTACCTAGAAGACCAAATTCCTTGAGACCTGTCTTACTTGCCCCAAGAAGCCAGTGCTCTCAGTACAGCTCACTGAACACCTTAGATGTAGCAGTCCCATGTTCAGTGGTAGGAATACAAGTGAAAATAAAAAACAGAGGGTTGTTATTGTTAGGTGCCCTCAAGTTGGTTTGGGACTTCATAGGGACCCTGTGTACAACAGAAGGAAACACTGCAGCATCCTCACAATTGTTCTAAGAGAGAGAAAGATGAATTAACAGGCAGCAAGCTTCCAGTACAAATAAGCTATGCAAAGGCTCTTGTGGCATAGGGTTGCCCAATTATCTGCTGACTGCAAGATCAACAGTTTGAAACCACCAGATGCTCTGAAGGAGAAAGACAGGGCCGTGTACCCTTATAAAGAGCGGTAGTCTCAGTAACTCAGGGGCAATTCTATCCTGTCCTGTAGGGTCGCAGTGAGTGGGCAGAGACTGTGGCAGTGAGTGAGAGGCTATTGTGGTAGCCCAAAGAGAGGGACTCCTGATTCTGGCTTTTTTGGGAGGGATCAGCTTGATAGATAAGGAAATGGCAGAGAGCAATGGAGAGAAAAAGAAATTTACTTTTAGGAGAGAACATTTGATTTTCTTCTCTCAGTTTGTGAGAATTGTAGAAAGAAACAGGTGGCACATTAAAAAAGCTAATGAAAGAGAATTTAATGATGAGACTGGTTATAGAGGTGTGGGCATCATTAAGGGAAGTCGTCATGGGGAAGTACCCATGTTGCCATTCTAGGTCAGAAAGAAAAGGGAAGGCAGGTGTTACTAGAACCTGAACAAAGCCTCTAAGCAAAGAAAGAGTGTTTGTTTTGGGTCTTCTGATGCCTGTTACCTGATCCCATCAACACCTCATGATCACACAGGCTGGTGTGCTTCTTCCATGTGGGCTTGTTGCTTCTTTGTTAGTTGGATGCTTGTTTAACTTCAAGCCTTTAAGATCCCAGATGCTATATCTTTTAATAGTCAGGCTCCATCAGCTTTCTTCACCACATTTGCTTGTGCACCCATTTTGTCTTCAGCTCTCATCTGGGACGGTGAGCATCACAGAATGTCAGATTGTTAGAACAAAATATTCTTGTGTTGAGGGAGGACTTGAGTGGGGGTCCAAAGTCCATCCACTCCTTAATGTATTGCCATATAAATATATGGACCTATGCCAATACCTCCATTTTTTGAATTAACATATTTATATAAGTGCACACCTCTATCTAGAGATTTGCTTCCTAGAACTTTCCTGTTTCCTTTTACCTTCCTCCTTTTCCACCATACCACTCCCCTTCTTCTGCCCCAATTTATTTTAGCTACTTTATTTTCCAGAGCAAGTCTCAGAGTATCTTCTGACATTCATTTTGGCCTTTCTCTTTCTTTCTTGATTTTTCATTTTGTTTTTTAAATCATATTTTGGTTTCATCATGCATGTTTTTGATGTTGTTTCAGAAGTTGTCTGGTCTTTGGTCATTAGTACATTAGCTCCGTTCTTGGGATGGTCTCTATATACTCAAAAGTTACAGTTCAACTCTCATGGACTGAAAATTTTTTTCTTCACTTCCAATTTGAACTTGCATGAGAGCAATTGATGGTCTGTTCCTCAGTCGGAACCCTGGCTTTCTTCTGACTGATGATATTGTGCTTTTCCATCATCTCTTTCCATAGTTGTCAAATTGATTCCATTGTGTTCCATCACCAGTAAGTATTAATGCATCTTAATTGCATATTTGATTTAAAACAACAAATGATGTATAACATTCCTTAGATCCAGAGTTGGTGAGAAGAATTAACAAAATTTAAGAAGAGTTATTTTCTTAGAAACTGTTTCCCAAGACAAAACTTCCTTGTTGCCTGGGGCTCTTAGATATGGAGTTGGCTATTTGAGAAGTTTCTTCTTAAGACTTTGTTTTTGCATCCTTATCATGGAAGGAAGAAAGCATTCTCTAAGTTAATTCTGGTTGTTTTATGGGCCATAAAAAGAGAGGAAGATCCTAAATGAGATGGATTACCCAGCAGCTACAAAGATGGGCCCAAGGATAGCAATGATTGTGAGAATGGGTGTGACCAGGTAAGATCTGAGTTGGAGCTGACCGGAGGGCAACAACAACAACAACAACCAGATGAGGAGCCCATGGTTAGGCATCTGTGCAAAGTCTATTATAATAGATTTTCTGAAAGCAGTATAAGCCTGGGTTTAATTTGGGCATTTTATTTTGATGAAGGGTTTAGAAAATCTCTTTTACAGTGTTAGGGAAAACAGATAAGACAGCCTGAGCTATACAATGCAAAGCAATTTGCATAGAATAAGTGACACTTGAGCCGGATCTAGAAGGATGGGGAGGACGACAACAGGTAACACAGAAGGGAAGGCCATTCTAGTAAGAGCCGTGACTGGTATCTGAGTGAAGATTTGAAATTGCCAGTCTGTTTTGAGAATGGTGAACAGCAGTAACTGGGGCTTAGTGTAACTAGATGGAAAGTATAGAAAGAAATGAGGCTTTAAAAACTGATATAGCTAGTTTGTGCTATTCATTTTATACCTGGCAGTGATAAGCTCTTAAAATGATGTTAAGCCAGGAAATGACCAGGTAGAGGAATGTTTGAGAACCCAAATGAGGAGAAATAAATCTATCGTGAAGCAATGGCTGGAGGTAGATAGAGAGGCACAGTGTTGTACATGAGGCCAATGGTGTTGGATATGAGCAGATGTGTGGGAGTGTGATGATCGGTGTTACCAGCAAGCCCCAGCACTGCAGTTCGATGGTGAGTGTAAAGAAAGAATTTCTCCTATAGCACGCAGATTTAAATATGAGCTGAAAATATAAGGGAAGTCAGAATTTTGTATAGGTAAAAGAAGCTGTAGCTTAATTTATCCCATATACCTTAGGATTTCCCTGTTTGCTCAGGCCCAGAACTAAATGAATATGTGATTTATGTGTCATTTTCAGGAAAAAGAGTTTGCGCTGGAGAAGGCCTGGCCCGCATGGAGCTGTTTTTAATCCTGTCCACCATTTTACAGCATTTTACCTTGAAACCTCTGGTTGACCCAAAGGACATTGACATCACCCCAACTGCCTATGGCTTAGGCACTCTGCCACCCTTCTATGAGCTCTGTTTCATTCCAGTGTGAAGAAGGGGCAACCTGATTGTAGCCTGAGCTGCTCCAGTCTCTTCTGGACCATGCAGACACTTGCTGGTCTGCGGTCCACTAGCTCCTGCCTATGTAACAACAGATATGCCCTCTGTGTTCTGTCGTCTGTCAGGATGTTCTCCATCCATCAAGAGGCACTTCAAATTTGTCTTCATGAAATAAAACTAGTTTTATCTCCAATAAATATTTCTTTGGCATTTTATATCCCTTATCCTATAATAAGTACCATGGCAGAATATTATAAATGCTATATGTTGTTTTAAAAATCACATCTTGTTCAGGGCCAAACCAAGTCAGTGAAAAATATGAACCATCCAGGTGGTTACAACTTACCCAGGAAATGTCAATCCAACTAAGGAACTGGCCAAAATTAATAAACCTGCTGGGGTGAAAAATTGACTTGGGGTTCCCCTCCTCCTCTTCCTACCCCCCACGTGCTCCACCTCCAGCCAGGTTGCTTCTCTAAACAGCTATATAAAATGTAACAACTACTTGGGGTTTGAGGGACATTTTCCCTAAACTTTTCTCCCAAAGAACCAAGAAAAAAATTGTTGTGACATAAGGAATTCCTGATATAACTCCAACTCTTGCACTGCCACGGAGTCAACGCAGACTCACAGCACCCCCTGTGAGTTTCCGAAACTGTAACTGTTAGCAGGGCCAGAACGCCCCGTCTTTCTCCTGCAGGGCTGCTGGTGGTCTTGGACTGCTGATATTGCAGACAGCAGCCCAACAAAGGGGGCAGCAAATCCAGTTTTTGATAGCATCAGTCCAAGTAATACCTTTCACAAGCAGGAATGGTTCTAAAACTTTTCAATTTCGACCTCATACGAACCTGAATAAGCAGAGAAGGGTTCAGTGGCTCTCGATGTGATCCTGGTGCTCTGTCTTCGGCTTCTTTCTGGAAACGGAAACGAAGCCACGTCAGATCTTAGTGAACTGCTGGGACGTCATGCATTATGCTCACCTCCATAGTTTAATTTGTGATTGATAGTTTTGCCTTTACTTTCTTGTCCCTTAAGAATTACGGAATGCAATTCTTATTGAAATGACTTCAGGGCAAAAAGGGAACCAGATTTATAGCAAAGTGCTTGAGAAGTGGGTTAAAAAGTTATTGGCATGTTTATGATTTCAATATAGCTTTATTTAGCTCCTGGAGTATAAGGAATTAAAGTAAATTAAGAGTTTGTGATTCTAAACAAGACTTTCTACTCTGGTAGATAGGAAATATATCCTTGTGCCAGCTTGGAGAAGCTACAGAAAAAGCAATCTCTGCCCATGTCTCCTCATTAGAAATCCAGAGTAGAAGTATCCCCAGGCGGAGGGAGACAGAGCAGAGGCAGATGCCCTTTAGCTCCATAATAGGAGTCAAGTTGACTTCAGAAGAAACTGTCCAAGTTGGCATAGGCTAACCCTTACCACACTCCCACATCTTGTTATTGCTTAAGACCTAAGTTATGTTTCAAGCTGTTACTTCTCTATTAGATAATTGGCATTCCAAGTCATTTTGCCAAAACAGCTACACTCAACAATGAGCCAGCCTCAAGGGCACTCGTAATTCAACTACCCATACAGAGATAACAATAACGGGGAGACTTCAGCTTAGTCTCTTGAGTTCTGCGAAAAGGCAAGATAAACTCCTCTGTGCTGTCCCCAACACACAGGGAAGAAGACAAGCTGACTCTTAGCCAATCAATGCCCTGCCACCAAGATACAAAGTTGTCGACATTCCTTTACGAAAGTCCTCCCTTTTTCTTGAGACTTGTTTGGAGGGTCTAGCAGGGGAGCGCAGCTATTCTATACCCTTGACAGCAGGATGGTCCTCCTTCTATAGGGGAAGGTCGTCCTCTTCAACCAAGTGCAGCTTCTAGATGGACGCACAGGGAAGAGGGAGGAAGGGGATACCGTGTAGTCAGCCAGATCAGCGGCATCAATCCTGGCATCAGTGGGGTGACAGATGTTGCAGCCAGATCGCCCTCACACACCCCTTTTCTTTAAATGTGTACAAATGCATTCCCTTTTTGGGGGGAGAGGCCGTTTGGAAAAAAGGGAATTCTCATTTCCTTTGCTTAATTGATTAAGCAAATGAAGCCTGTCTTTCTCCTTTCCAAAAGCAGGTGTTAGACGGGGGTTTTGTCTGTTTGCCCCAGTGGCAGGCAGAGGAGCCAGGTTTTTGCAATAATAGAATTCCTGGGAAGGGAAGCTCCCATCTGGTGGAACTCCTCTGCAAATTATTGAAAATTCCTACAGTTAAATGTTGACTGTATCATCTTTAAGCAATATAGCTACATTTTACACTCCTTCAGAAAGCTGTTACCAAAGGATAAGCAAATTAATATAATATAATTTATTCCTGGGTGGAAATAATTTATTCCTGGATTAATATTAATCTTTGTAGGGACAAATATTTGCTGTGGAGCATTTTCATGTTGGTGTTGTTTTATCACTGCTAGAAATTGCTGTAGAATGAAGTAATATATATTGAGAGAAAATTTAAGTCTATCATCCTAACAGAAACAAAATTAAGTAGTCAAGAGGTAGAAGGGAACAGTGCTCTACTTTATTGTTTCGTAGTCCTTCCCTGGAATATTTTTGCAGAAGTTAAAGGGTGTTGGAAGTATTAACAGTGGTCCTCAACCTTCCTAATGCCGCGACCCTTTAATACAGTTCCTCATGTTGTGGTGACCCCCAAACCATAAAATTATTTTCGGTGCTACTTCATAACTGTCATTTTACTACTGGTATGAATCGGGCAACCCCTGTGAAAAGGTTGTTCAACCTCCAAAGGGGTCACGACCCACAGGTTGAGAACTGCTGGATTAGAAAGGCCATTATGATACTATTCACTACATAAGCCATGTGATTTGTTCAGCTCTACCTTGAAAACTAAGCTGCTTCTATGCCTTGGTGGCATAGTGGTTACATATTGGGCTGAGACCTGAAAAGTCAGCAGTTTGAAACCATCAGCTGCTCCATGGGAGAAAGACGGGGCTTTCTACTCTAGTAAAGAGTTACAGTCTTGGAACCTCACAAGGACAGTTCTATCCTGTCTGATAGGGTTGTCATGAGTCAGAATTGTCTTGATATACATATAGGTACCTATCGATATCTAAATATATAGCTATAGCTATACCTATATCAATATACAGCAAACTCACTGCCATAGAGTCAATGCTGATTCATAGCGACCCCCTGTGGGTTTCTGAAACTGTAACTGTTGATAGGAGTAGAAAGTCCAGCCTTTCACCCATGGAGCTGCCAGTGGTTTAGAACTGCTGACCATGCAGACTGCAGCACAGTACATAGCCACTACACCACCAGGGCTCCTACCCGTGGATAGAGGGTTAGTAAAAAATGAGATATACAATGTAGAAACAGGAAACATTTTAACAAAGTGGGATAAGCAGTAGCACAGTGATAGATTGAAATGGATGAGTTAAAAAATGGTGTATAAATTGTTGAATATAAAACTGATGACTTGTGCTATATACCTTGACATATGTCACAATAAAAAGTTTAAAATAAATATTTTGTATACTTTTGTTGTTAGTGCCATCCAGTCAGTTCTGACTCAAAATGACCCTTTTTGCTACAGAACAAAGCATTGCCTGGTCTTGCCCCATCCTGACAAATGGCTGGTATGTTCGTTAGTGCAGCCACTGTGTCAATAGGTCTTGAGGACCTGGCTCTTTGTCACTGCCTTCCACTTTATCAAGCACGCTGTCTTTTTCCAGGGGCTGGTCTCTCCCGAGAACATGTTCAAAGCATGTAAGATGAAGTCTCGCCATCCTTCCCTCTCAGGAGCATTTTGGCTGTACTCCCTGTCAAACAGATTTGTTTGGTCTTTTGCAGTTCGTGGTACTTTAATATTCTCGGCAAGCGCTGGGCTTTCAATACATTGATTGTTTTTTGGTCTTCTTTATTCATTGTCCTGATTTCAGATGTATACGATGGGATTGAAGATCACATAGTTTGTGTCAGGAGTACCGGAACCCTCAAAATGACATCCTTGCTCTCAAGCACTTGAAAGGTCTTGTGCAGCAGATTTGCCTAATGCAATGTGCCACTTGATTCCTTGTGCGCCACTTCCACGAGCATTGATGGCGAATCCAAGGAAGATGAAATCCCTGACAGCTTCCATATTTTCTCTGTTTATTATGATGCTGTGTAATTGTCCAGTTGAGAGGATTTTGGCTTTCTTTACATTGACTTTCAGTTCATACTGAAGGCTATAGTGCTTGATCTTTATTACACAAGGTTGTATCATCTGCATAGAGTAAGTTTTTAATAAACCATCATCCATTCCTAAAGCCACGTTCCTTTTCATAAAGTCCAGCTTCCTGGATTATTTGTTCAGTATTCAGATAGAGTACGTATGGTGCAAGGAAACAACCCAGACTCACATCGTTCCCGATTTTACACCATACAATATTCTCTTGTTCTGTTTGAATGACTGCCTCTTGGAGTTTCTCATGAGCACAATGAAATGTTTCTGAATTCCCATTCTTCTCAATGTTATTCATGGCTTCTCTTTTCCCCCCACAGTTTTATTGGCACATAATCCACATATCATACAATTCAATCATATTGTGGTAGTTACGTAATCTGGTGTCAATTTGGAATTTAAGAGGATTAAGAGTGAAGGGATGGAGTCTACTCTGTCAATCAAGATATAATCAATGAGGCCTCTGTGTGGGCCTGGCCTTCCTCTGAGGATTCTGGGAAAACTCTGGGATTTCCTCCTTGGAGGTGGAAGACACACACACACACACACACACACACACTCTCTCTCTGCTCACTCCTGAGAGACATCCCTAAGGACAGGCCACATGGACCTACCCTGATGCAGCCCTGGGCGCTGGAGAAGCCACGTGGAGACCTCTGCCAGCACTGAGATGCTTATAATGCCACTGGATCCAAAGACTTTCTACCCACTGGCCTGTGATCATCCTGCATTGTTTCATGTGTTTCATTGCATGTGTTTCATGAGTATGAAGAGGACTTTACAGATTGGTATCAAACATCTGGGCTAATATCAGACTTATGGGCTTGGACTGGACTCAGTAGGCAAGCTTTCTTAAAGTACAATTACTCTATATAAAACTCTCTCTTATACACGTATGAGTTTCTATGAATTTGTTTCTCTAACCTACCTGGACTAACACACATATCAAGAATAATTAT